TCAAATATATATATGGGGCCGTCAATCGACAAGAGCTCCCTACTTTAAATGATTTTTAGGTTCTAGGAAGTGTGTGAATATGTAAAATTTTTGTTTATGTCACAGCAGCAGTTTTTTAAATACTGCACTATTTAAATAGAGAAATGAGTTTCATTTAAGTTTGGTTATTGTATTCTTTCTGTATAAAGCGCAGTTAAGGTTCGTTTTTTTTAAGGCAGTACATATTTTTCCATACTTCTCTCGAAGAAGAAATTTATTTTAACCTAAACCACTTGCAAATACACTGGAAAATTTTAGAAATACCGGACAATTTACAGAGAAGTTAATTTCAAATGTGACCTAAGTCTCTGAAGCGGCGGTTCAATCGCTGCTTTCCTGTTTCATTCGTTGTCTTCTTTTTGCTCTCCCCACTATTAGGTATTCCTACCAACTCACTTATTTAATGGCTTTTCCTATCATCCATATTACGTTTTTTTCCACAGTTTTTAGTTTTTTTATAGATTGCTATCTAGGCTGCAGTAAGAAAAGGATGAAAACAATATTCACGCGCACTTTTACTACAGTAATTACGTGAGGAAGTAAACGTATTCCTATATTTCTTCAAATCTAACTAAAAGAAAAAGAAAGACAGCTGGAACGGAAATTTACGAATTTAAATGCAGAATACACTTCTTTTTCTCCTCATCATCCCTGACTGCTTCAGTGAAGTATTCGCTATTTTTTTAGCAGTACTTTTTAAACTTTTCTTATCTACTAAAAGATTGTATCCTTTTTTCCTATCATTTCATGACCTTTCTCAAAAAACCTCTGCTGTGACTTTTTTTAAAACATTTTCTTGAAGTACTTTAAAAGTAGCTTACAGTAACCAAAAAAACTGGGGTTTTCGGGCACCTAACAAAGTTATCATAGTAACACTGTTAAAACTATGTGTAAAAATTGAAATTACTCTCACTTTTTGGCTGAAATCTCGGCTGAAAATAGAAATTAAATCATGAAATTGTTAACGCCAACAGTTAAGACCTTGACAAACAATAAACAATAGCTGCCACATCATTTACACAAGTTACCTAAAAATTTGGCATACTTTTACGGAGTTCACTCCGGATGTCTCAGCATTGCACAGTGGCACTGTGCCAAAGCCGCTGTAACTTCTCCAAAATGAAGGATTTTCGCTCCAAAAAAATTTCCCACCAAATTAGAAATGAATTCCCCTATAAAAATGAACGCGACCATAGATATACTGCTACTATGAACTATTACAGACCGCCTGTACTTCTTGGGTCATAGGACATTGGCAAAGAGCCAGTTTTTCAGTTTTCTAAGCATGCAAGCCCGGATTAGAAAAATTTAGAGGGTTGGCATCAGAAGGGGCTATATTTGTTCGTGTTTATTTTAAATGGTAGAATATTTTTTATTGAGTATCTTATTATTATTTCGTTTTGAGAATAATTCTTATTTTTTTTTTCTTTTTGTACCGTAAAAGTTCCCTGATCAATTAGCAATTACAAGTCATTTTTGTATAAGCAGTGGTAACAGCAGTAGATTTGATAATATCTGGTTCACCACTGAGTTACTGCGGCCATTTGTAGTCAATACCAGTATCACACTTTTATACCTTTTTCCCCTCATTCTGAGTTCTTGATTTTCAACCAGATTTAGTGACTTTTTTTGTTGCATTTGCTACACTCTTAAATAAAATACGATTAAACTTTGCTTGTTTCTTTCGTAACATCGTCGGCAGTCCTATTGGAGATCAGTTGTGTTTCAAGAAAAAGAAAGTAAGTGGTCGAATTTTAAAGTTTGTAGAGGTTCTTCAAACGAGTTGCAGTTTAGCGTGAAAAATATGAGATTCAAATATGAATGCTAAAGAGGTTTGGACTAGGCTAAAAAGTGGTGGGGACGGATAAGGGTCTTTTCAACGCAATATATATCTTCTTTCTTATCGACTGTTAGTAGTCTTCGGTATATTTTGTAGGAGTGTTTAATGGTTGAGGTGGAGGTTTTATTATAGTTTTTTCATAATTGGTAGCTCTTAGAAGGAAACTTGTTAGACAAACTAGTATACGCGTGCTTGGTAGTTCCTTGTTCAGCCAGTTAGAATCGGACGTAATCAAGGCTGGGGGAACACTTGATTGTTTGGCTTTATGCTCATACGCATTAATTTTTCTTTTATATCGTGTGATGGATCAGAACCTATTACGTACTCATTTTGCGTGGAAGTGGATTTGATCACCCCAGTTTCCCAAAGCTGCAGTTAAAAAGTTGAATTGATACTTGTTAGAGTTTATATTTTCGGAAGGGTGACTTTTTGAGGAAGTAAAAGGTGTAAAAGTTGAGTTAAAAATTGGTATGACTCCACATTTTGAAAGCAGGAAAGAAATTTATAGGTAGCTGGAATTATAATAGATAAATTTACAGGAGATGAAGGCAGGTTGTTAACAAGCAAAATTTAGATTTTGGGACACATAACTAGGCTGCATTTCCGCGTTATTTTTTTAGTGCTTTTCGGTTTACGTTTAATGGAAGGTTTTATTCATGCATGGTACTAAATCGGTCAAATTTTTCAGAAGACCAGTTGACATCTTCATCTTCTGGAAGTTGAGGAATTGAGGAATTCATTGCAGGGGGTCGTCGAAGTAACTGCTGTGGGAGCTCTTGAGGCGTTCTGTAAATATGTAAGTTAAATTTTTTTTTGATTTTATGGGCTTCTGCTTGGACCACTTATTGCATTCAACTTCATTTTTTGATTTTAGTTTCGATATGTTGTTCGACTTTTAATGTACAAACGTATACAGAATAGCCTACAGATCTTACTTGTTCTCCTTGTTCATTTGGAAGCGTTTCTCATCAAGCCGACATCCTAAAACTTTGTAAAGCAAACTTCTCTGGAACTTCTAAAGATAATAAGCCGTGCTTGGGAAGTTTAAACAGTAATTTGTTACAGTTGGTGGCGTATGAGGATTAGTTTTCATATATAGGTTTTGCTGCATTTTAGGGATGGGAACAGTTGTCAGGGAAGATTAATCGATCCGACGAATAAGTGGGTCCGGTAAGCCTTCAGAACTCGTCGTAATTCGTAGTGTCAACAGGAACTGTAAATTTTCGTATTGAGTTTTTGGGTGCGAAGCCTTGAAAATTCTAGTGTTTACAAACAGGAACAGCTTTCTAATCCTACTTGCTATACGGTTCGCTATCTTCGTTATTATTCGAATCAAAAGTTTATGTATGAAACCTCTCTCACATTGTGCATTTTCTTTTCGAGCTTCTTTACTTTTTTGTATTTTTGCTGAGAAAATAAATTGGAAAAAATTTTGTTTTTATTTGCATACGAATTTGCAAGTATCACTATAGCTGAATTTCATGTGGGTCGATTAAAACCCAGTTATGTTAGTTTCAACCTTTATATTCATTAAGTTGCCTTTCTTAGTGGGACTTGTGTAATCTGTTGAGTGAAAGTTAAAGTAAAACACAGACGCGTCGTTACGTAAACAAAAAGTTTTGCCGAAGAATTTTTGGAGTGTAGCAACTTTTAGATAAGACTGTCAGCCTTCTTTCATGCAGGGGACTACAATAATCTTGTGCTTCAAGAATTTGAAGAGCCAGAGAAAAGCAGCGGTTTAAAGAGGTCACTGGTTTATTGAGATTCCATACGAAGTGCTCATCTTATAGTTTTAGATTTTAATACCTGTTTGCGAAGGAAATTGAGCTGCATGTACTGGTGAGTCTGGTCATCTGAGAAATGCTGTTTGAAAGTTGCCATGCCTGCAATCCCCTAATACTTATAACTTAAGTGTTAGAAGTAGCGGCTTTGATTTGAAATGCTGTTTTCTATTTCCATAATGAAAAGCCACATTCTAGACAATTATTTTCAGCATGTCTGAAAAGATAAGATGCATTCATTTTAACTCTACTCAGGATTGTTTTATTGTCGGAACAGATGAGGGCTTACGAATATTTTCTTGCACGCCGCTTTCAGAAATCTACTGCTTTTGTTAGTTTCTGTTTTCATCATTGTTGCCCATTGGTATAAAAAAGAAAGCTTGGTCATTTTATCAAATATTATTCTTTAGCAAGTATCATCTCTTATCTTTTTGAGTTTTTAGCAAAATCACAAGTCGGAAGTGTTAAAGTTTGTTCCTTTTGGCATCATTCGAATATATATATTCTTGCATCTGGTGGTTTATTTCCCAAATATCCAGAAAATAAAGGTATTTTGGAGCATTGGTTCCATCTCAGTGTATAATAGTTCTTTGTTAGCTTACTGCTAATGCTTCTTTACAGTTTTTTCATTCTCATACTTCACTTCTGAACAAAACTTCTGAACATGTTTTGAAACATCAACTTTTACTTGTTTTAGTGATGTTTTGGGATGGCTCTAAACAGAAGGAGGTTGCTGACATAACAATCGGCGGTACTGTCCTCAATGTTTTCGTCACTAACTCTCAGTTAGTTTTAAGCGTGCCATATTTTTGTATCTTCCGCTTCTAAATAATGTATTGTTTGCATTTATATCTAAAATCAGTTATTTTTAATTCACAGTTATTGCTTCTTAATATTTGTGCCATTTCTTGCTGCCTGGGAAGTTTGCTCCCGTGTTTTTTACAACAAATTTAGATAGTAGTACCAAAAATAATAAGGTCAAATCGGGTAGTTGAAAATGAATCATGCGATGTCAATTTGTGGGCTTTTTGACTTACCTCGAGGGTTATTTCCAATGTTTTCCAACTTGTTAGATTTGATATCCGGCTGCGAAATAAAAACTGCAAACGGCGTGGTGGCAGTAAATTTAGGTCATGCAAAATCGCAAAAAGGGAAGAGCGCAGTTGTTTTTAGGAGTCATTGACTCTCCTAATTCGTGACGGATTTTCAGGTTTAATCTCTATTTAAAGGCTTCACTGGATTCAAAAAAGCGGTGTGATGCATTCATCTGCAAATTATGTAAAAAGTTAGAATAAGAAAAATTGAGGATGTCACATTTTGCTTGCAAAAATTGGACAAGGCATCAAATTAAATGAACCGCTGTAGCGTCATTTTTGAGATAGTTAGAGAGATCATTAATCGGTAAAATTGAACAGAATTTTAGTCATCTTCAAAACCCGGAAATTTTTTTCCGATATATATTTTCCGATATGCTTTATAGAAACCAGCATTTTCCAATTCTTATATCAGGTTCAATACCACAGCTATTTTAGTACTCAGTGATGAATGGTGGGTACGCTTACATAAAATATGACTCTCTAAAACAACTTTGTAAAAGTTGAAACATAAAATGTTTGGATAATTCCTTTCTATTCAAAATCGTTGGGCG